ACACTGACGACAAACACTTCAGCATCTTCCCTAGATTGAGACAACACTTGGGGCAGCACTGTTCACCCTAGAGCATTGCTAAAAGCAAGCTCACTTTCAAGGCTTTGCTCTCAGGTCAATGTTCCACAGTCTTGGAGGGAGAATCTGATTGCCACAGACTGTGTCACATCTCAAAGGAGACAGAGCCATAGAGTATGTGCATCGCTTTGGGAAGACATTTTCATCTGCGGCCAGCCAAACCTGTTGAACACCCCATGTAACTTCCCACATTGTGACTGTTGCTTTCTTTGTGTAGAACCTAGAAATCTACGTTTCCCAGTTTCTCTGGCTACTCACAGGGTTTAGGTTTATGTTCATTCATGTTTGAGATTTTGACTCAAGAGTGGGTATGAAGCAGAGATGGGGCTTGGGATGGTGATTTTGCTAACTTGGGGAAGCCAGGGTAACTGAGATTTTGGGGTGCCAGCAAGACCAGCTCTATATCAGGCCAGTTCAGTGGGGTCATAAGAGGCTCCTGGAAGCCTACCTAAAGCCTATTTCTCCAGCTGTCTAATGATTTTTGAGCTCGCTTTCTTTGTTTGTTTGTTTGCTTTTATGAGACAGGGTCTTGCTCTATTGCCTAGGCTGGCGTGCAGTGGTGTGATCACAGTTCACTGCAGCCTCAAACTCCTGGGCTCAAGCAATCCTCCCACCTCCCTCCTGAGTAGCTGAGATTACAGGTGTGCACAACCACACCTGACTACTTTAAAGTGGAGATGGGAGTTTCACTCTCTTGTCCAGGCTGGTCTCCAACTCTTGGCCTTAAGTGATCTTCCTGCCTCAGCCTCCTGGTTTCCTGAACTTTCTAATAATTTTAACTATATCCCTTTCTCTTTTGGATTCTGTTGACTTCAGCCATGAACCTTGACCCACACAGGCCCACCCGCTTGCTCCTCAGGGCTCTCAATGGCATTTCACAATGATGTTCCTTGCTGTAGGGATTTCATCCATTTTTCTGGGCACATGCAGGCCCTTTCAATCTGGAAATGTACATCTTTCAGTTCTGAGTAATTTTCTTAAATTGTTTATTAGTTCCTTCCTTTTTCTTTTTCTGATCTCTCCAAAATCGCTCTTCAGAAAGAGCAATTTGGATGTTGGACTTCCTATTTCGGTTTCTCTGATTTTCCATCTTTTTGTCTTTTTGCTATACATTTTCAGGGAAATTTCCTCAATTTTACCTTCCACACTTGCTGTTGAGTTTTTCATTGCTGCTGTCATTCCCCTCCCCTCCCACCACTGTTAAGAGGTTGAAGACATTCTCTCAGTGAGCCTTTAAAAAGAGCATCTTGCTCCTATTTGGTGGAGACAGTAGCTTTTCTCCTATCTCTGTTGATAGTAAATAAATATTATCAACATTAGTAACCGTCCTCCCGTCTCTCTCACACATATTGTCTGCTCCTGGGTGTTTCTGGTTCTGTTCGTTGGTGTCTCTGGCTCTGATGAGAGAGGTATTCCACTGGTGCTACGTAGCCCTTGGCCATCCGCTGGCAATTAGAGTGAGGATCAGCTTCTGAGCCTGAGGAGGGGGCTTGTTAGCTTCAAGTCCAAGGCAGGGCAATGCTGGGCCACTGGGCCACTTACTGCAGGAAAGCCAGATGTCAAGGGCTTTAGAGCTTTCTTCTTGGGCTTCTCAGGGGTGTAAGCTGGATGCTTTGGGTTAAGCTACGCTTCGGTTTGTCCAAGCGCACTTTCCAGTATGCTAGGCTTTCCCAGAGCTTCCTCATCTCCTGCCTGGAGGCAAGGACCTGGCTGCTGTTGCCCTGGGTGGCTCAGCAGGCAGCAAGCAGCAAAACCCCTTGTTTCTATTCTGCAGCTCACACCCTTACCTGTGCCAGCTGACCTCCAGCCGCGGAGACCCTCCGTTTCCTCCTTTTCAGAGAAGACAGGTTGGGTCTCAGCTGGGTGGGGAGGACAGCTGCCTGGTGTTGCAGGGGAAGGGAGAGCGTCTGGGGTGCTGGCGGCCTGCCACACAGCTTTCCCTCACCCTCCTCCATTCAGGCCCCCTTTGCCTTGACCTTAGAAGTTCCAGGGGCTGCCAGTTCCTGAGCTCCTGAGGATTCTGCAGTGCGGATCTGTATGCTTCTCAGCTTTCCCCACCTCAGCACCAGCTCTTCCTGGGTTCTGTTAAATTAGTCCCCGTGCATTCATCTGCTTTCCAGCTTCCAAAGTTTGACTGCAATGGCCTCTCTCATGTTTTCCCCATCCTTTTGGTTTGTATGTGCCTTTTCTCAATCTCTTTACTATAATGCTGGTGGGGTTTCAGGAGGGAGAAAAGTTGAATGTGTAGGCTCAACCTGGCATCTTGACCTGGAAACTCCCAATCAGCTTTTTAGTATTATCCCCTTAAATAGAAGATAACAGCCAAAGATCAGTGAATGATTGAGGAAAGCCTGTATGTGACTATCAAGAGAAAAAGCCAAGCCAAACAAAAGCAGAACAAGCTCCAGGGAAATAAAAACAAGGCAGGGAACTAGAGGAACACTTCAAACATGTATAGTACCAACAACTTATTTATGGGATGGTCAGTACATATGGTTTTATTCTGGAAATGGATAACCAGAGAACTCGAGGGACAAGTAATCTTTTAAAAAAGCGAAGACACATAAAGATGCACATACAAGAATGTTTATCACAACATGGCTTCTAATAGTAGAAGATGTATACAGCTGAGAAGTCTAAGAATAAAGGAACACTTTAATAAATTATAGTATATAATTACAGTGGAATACTGTGCAGTCATTCAAAGCGAGGTGGTAGAAGCTGGGTGTGGTGGTGTGTGCCCATAGCTGGACTGTAGTGCCAGCTACTTTGGAGGCTGAGGTGGGAGGATTGCTTGGGCCCAGGAGTTTGAGACCAGCCTGGGCAACAGAGCCAGACCCTATTGCTTAAAAAAAAGATGTGATAGAAATGAATGCATACAAATGGGGCCGGGTGTGGTGGCTCACGCCTATAGTTTCAGCACTTTGGGAGGCTGAGGTGGAAGGATTGCTTGAGCCCAGGGGTTTGAGACTAGCTTGGGCAACATAGTGAGACCTTGTCTCTACTGAAAAAAAAATTAGTTGGGCATGGTGGCATACACCTGTAGTTCTAGCTACTCAGGAAGCTGAGGCTGGAGAATCACTTGAGCCTGGGAGATCGAGGCTGCAGTGAGCCATGACTGCACCACTGTACTCCAGCCTGGGTGACTGAGTGAGACTCTGTCTCAAAATAATAATAATAATAATAATAATAATGGAAAATTACAGTTTATCATCAAAAATTAGAGTACAGAATCAAAATATTTATAGTAAAATCTCATTTTGGAAAAATATGCATAGAAAAATGTACAACTCCAATTAAAATACAAAGACTGTCAGACTGGATTTTATTTTGTTTTTTGAGATGGAGTTTTGCTCTTGTCGCCCATGTGCAATGGCGCGATCTAGGCTCACTGCAACCTCCACCTCCCAGGTTCAAACGATTCTCCTGCCTCAGCTTTCCTAGCAGCTAGGATTACAGGCCCCTGCCACCATGCCTGGCTAATTTTTTTGTAGTTTTAGTACAGACGGGATTTCACCATGTTGGCCAGGCTGGTCTCCTGACCTCAGGTGATCTACCTGCCTCAGCCTCCCAACGTGCTGGGATTATAGGTGTGAGCCATCGCGCCAGGCCCAAACTATACTTTAGTGCCCTTATATGCAGTTAAAAAAACTGGAAAACTATGTATAAAGAATATTAATAGTTACCTGGAGGTAGTGGAATTCTAGGTGAGCATTATTTTGTTCTTCGTACTTTTTTCTATTTTGTTAAATATTTTTCAGAATGCTTGTATTACTTTATAATCAGCATTCAGTGGTTTTCTTGTGTTGCTTCTAATATTTATTCCATTTGATTTAATAGTTTATTTTCTAGGAAAATAAATTTTTATTTATTTATTTTATTCTTTAGAAAAGTAATCAGAGCAGATCAGATAAATTATCTAAAATGTTTTAATCACATTGTAATTTAGAATCACAAAACGATTGGAAACAAGCAAGCAAGCTAGTAACTGAAAGCCCGAGATGTGTTAAATGGATTATTTTACATTTCTATGTTGGAACACTCAGTCATTAAAACAATACATGTGATAGAATATTTTTGATAAATAGCATATATTGGTGCAGATAAGTATGAGCTCAATGAGCTTTGAAATAACTAAATATAGGTTAGATATATTTATGGAAAAAATCTTAAAGGAAGCATATGAAACTATTGTAAGTGGTTGTCTCAGGGTAATGGGATTCCCCTACCTAAGCATGATTTCTGGGAGGGTTGAGATGGGGTCTCTCATTCACCATTCTATTCCCAGGACCTGGGGGCTGCTCTAAGTATCTCGAATGAGTGAATGTATTACAGATGCTTTTGACTTTCTTGTATATTCCAAATTTTCTACCATAAACATGTTTGCTTTTATAATCACAATAAATTTTAAAACTTTAAATGAGGAAATGGGTAAAGAAAAGGGAAAATATGGGAAAGTGGGAGGGTGCAAAAAAATGTATCCTCCTCTGAACTGACTCCACTCCCCTCCTCCTGATGGTGGCTGTGAGTGACAGGAGCCGGCTTTCTCCACGAGACCCTGTCTGCATCAGTCCGTCTCCCCAACCCCACCCCAGGCCTGCCACCACCTCTCTGTGCTGGCAAAGAATCTGCACTCAAGGAAATAATTATGAGGCCCATGGTGGCCTCGACACCCGCAAGACCAAAGCCTGTGACAAGCACAATGCTCTAAACCTGGCCCAGGGAAGCAGAATGGAACTGCCACAGTCCCCACCAAACCAGATCCACCCACTCCAGGAAATCGGCCTGGTGCCAGGGCGTTGCGCCTGGGGTGGCCTAACATTTCCGCCCAAACTTGGGCCAATTTGAGAAGATGGAGGGTGAGGTGTTTGGGGAAGGAGTGTGTTCCTGTTGCTCGTTGCCATCACCACCTAGAGGAGGAGAATGGAGTCAATCCAAGGGAGGACAAACTTTTCTTTCTTTCTTTTCTTTTTTTCATTTGGGGAAAACATAGGGGTCTGCACCTCCGGGGTGCAATGGTGAACTTCACCCTGGGCAAACCACCTTTGTGATCATGGTATCTCCTCTGCCAGGTAAGTATGAGCATAAACTTTCTGTACTCTTCCCATTTTCCCTTTTCTTTACACGTTTCCTTGTTTAAAGTTTTACAATTTATTGTGATTGTAAAAATAAACATGTTTATGGTAGAAATTTTAGAATATACAGGAAAGTAGAAAGAAGAAAGTCAAAAGCACCTGTAATACATTCACTCATTCAGCAGACACTTAGAGCAGCCCCCAGGTCCTGGGAATAGAAGGGTGGACGAGAGGGTCACCCAGATTCTCCTCGTTATAATAATAGCACTAGCTACCCCTCTGGGCCCTTGTATGTGCCAGGTTTTTACTATGTGTTAAACAATTTTCATTTATTATCTCCCTTGATCTGTACAAAACCCATAAGAGGGAGGATTCATATTAAAATCTCTATTTTACAGATGAGAAAACTGAGGCTTAGAACAGCGAAGGAGGTCACTGAAAGTCACACTGTGAGTTCAACTGCAAAGCTGTAAATGGAAAACCCCCTAAGGCCCTGCTCTTAGCTCCTCCTGGTTCCCTGTTGCAAAGAGGCATTCCCCAGGCAGCTGTGAGGTGGAATTCTCTGTCTTCAGCCTTGTGGCTGAGAAGTTTCCCAGAGAACAGAAGCTGGAGCCTTTGGAGACCCCACTCGGCTGAGGCCCCGGGACCACTAGGGGGCAGCAGAAGTCTGCTGCGCTGGCGGGAGGCTCTGTCCCCGGCTGACTGCAGGCTCCGGGCAGCTGTCCTGAGTTAAAACCTGAACCTCTGGTGGCCGAGAATAGCAAGAGGCTGTCATTCACGTGGGCATCTTCCTTCCCAGGGTTTCGAAAGTCCCTCACGTCATCCCTGTCGTTTCATAATCCTGCTCACGGAGCACTTTTTCCGTCTTCCTCAAACAGGTCCTATCTTGGCCCGGGAGAACGGGTTCAGGGACACAGGCTTCCTGCGGGCAGTGTGTTAGATGCTGGGCTGGTCACTGGGGCCACGGGGATTAAAAAAAAAATCCTCTAGAAAACCCAGGACTTGCCCCCAAGGGAGACTGGCACCTAAATAAGCAACCGAAGTACACGGTGCAAAGTGCAATAACAGACGGACATCCGAGATTCGGAGGCAGCACCAAGTGGGAGAAAGTGGGGCGGCATTAGAAGCCGGGGATTTGGCTTAGAAGTGGCCCAAGGTGTGCGGCTGTCTGCAAATGCCATCCTTCATGTGAGGTGAGGCACAGGAAGAGGCTGAGAAGTCCGATCTAGAGGGATGTTGGGTAAATGGTCCCAGGTTGAAAAATATTAGATGCTGAAGTAATGTCAAATGTTCTCGAAACTGTGAGGTTTGCCTCTGAGTCCCAGGCAGAGTGTGGGCTGGGATAGCTGAGGCAGGTCCAACCTGGGCTCAGGAAGACGGTGAGAGATGGTGGGGTTAAGAGGTCATTATGAGGTCCAGAGTCAGGGTCGGTGGGCTCAGGACCTGGCAAAGTCAGACGGCATGACAGCCAGCTTTGCCTACCCACTCTGGGCTGGGCCCACAGCTGCCACTACCCTTTGTCCCCAAGAGTGACAGGAGAGCTTGCACCAGCTCCAATGCTTCCTTCTTTAAAGACATGGACTGAGGGTCTTAGGCTTATACCAGCCAGGATTATTCCAGTGGGATTCCAGCTCTCCTCCTAGCCATGTTCTTCCTGCAAAAGTTTGAAGCGAGTCTGGCTGGGTGAGGTAACTCCTTGACAAACTGGACTCATTTTTGGCTGACGACCTGTGTGGTCCCTGAAGCTCTGTCCTCAGCCAAGGTTGGCCCAGAGGGGAGTGGAGTTGGAAGGGGAAGGGCTGGCATGGCTGCAGTACTCCATTTGCCCCCAGCAGCCTGGTGGTCTTCACTTGTGCTTCACCCCACAGGCATTGTGGACACAGGTGTGTCACCAAAGGGCCATGAGGTTCCTGTGTCACGTGGGACACCCCTGCCTTGCCAATCTTTAATTTGTTGTTATTATTTTTTTCTGAGACGGAGTTTCACTCTTGTTGCCCAGGCTGGAGTGCAGTGGCGCAATCTTGGCTCACTGCAACCTCCACCTTCCGGGTTCAAGTGATTCTCCTGTCTCAGCCTCCTGAGTAGCTGGGATTACAGGTACCCGCCACCACGCCTGGCTAATTTTTGTATTTTTAGTGGAGATGGGGTTTCACCATGTTGGCCAGGCTGGTGTCAAACTCCTGACCTCAGGTGATCTGCCCACCTCGGCCTCCCAAAGTGCTTGGATTACAGGCGTGAGCCACTGCACCCGGCCATTAATTTTTTTTCCAGGCAATCTCCCTCTGGGTAGGTGTATCCCAGGTGGTGGTGTCAGGCAGCCATCCTTGGACTTCTTCCCCGCAGCATGGCCAAGGGCAAGGGAGAGGGAAGGGACTCAAGCCAGGGTGTGACATGCAGTGGCCCACATAGGAAAACATTGTTTTTTGACCTCTCTTTCATTTTCTTAAAAGTTCACAGGCCTTTCACCTTCTGCTTTTTAGTGCCTCCTGGCAAGTTTTATCATTAAAAACTATCTTTTAAATGACTTACATTTCCATTTAAAGCGATTTGCGTGATTGGTTTATTTGCTTAGTCCCAAAGTGCTGTCACTGCAACAGCACCATGGATTTAAGGATATATAACTTTTTCTTTTTTTGAGAAGCAAAAAACATGACCACATTAGATGTCAAAGTGTTAAAATTAGATGTTGAAAGTTAAAATATGGGGAAAATGCAGACCTTAGAACAAGGGAAATTCTTGTTGGTAATTTTCATCCTCCCAAAAAACTTCAGAATAAAATTGGTTCTCCCTGAAGATGTGTGACATTTGTCCTTGGCTTCATGTCCCTATCCTGCAGTGTTGGGGAGCACAGGGTGAGGTCACGCTTATTGTGAGCTGGCCCTGGGTTTTCCCAGAGAAAATTATTTCTGGTTACCCAGAATGTTCAGGGGCTAGAGTTCCAGTAAATTGAACCATTCTGGGTCAACAGCCACTCTTGATAGATTTGAATTTTCAACATTTGGAGTTAGAAATCTTTCTTAAAAATGTAATCTCATCAACAAGCATTCAGTGAGTACCGAATATGGACCTGTTTCTCTACTTTTATGTTGTTGTCTCCAGAACATTCAGGGATCCTCATTCCAACAGTTGACAATTTCATGGAGTTCCTCAAGGCCTTTGTAACTGATGCCAGTTTTCTAGAACTGGAAATGAGAGAAGGGAGAGATGGGGCTGCATGAGACGATTCTGTGGGCGTGCTGTATTGTTTGGCCAAGCACTTTGTCATCTGTCATCTCATTTGTTTCTTACAACAACGCTGTGAATGCTATTACCAGGCTCTGACAGGTGAAGCAGCTTGCACCTTGCCTGGCACCATGTGTCTGGGTGGGTGCAGAAAGGAATTTCCTCCAGGCTCCCAGGCCTCCCTCTTCCTCATTAGGTTTCTTGGGTGGCGGGAACATCTGGGCAGCTTTGGTTTCATTGGTTTGTTCCAACAAAACTCGACTGCTTTTTTTTTTTTGCAGCTTTTCCCCCACACTGAAGACCAACCACCAAATAACTCCAAGACACAGAAGAGAGAGCGGGAGAGACCTCTGTGACTTGGGGTTGCATGTGGGCCTATGATAAAGGCCTATGGATGTACATTCAACCAATAACAATCAAACAGTTATTATTTGGCCCTGGCCAAATAGTTATGACTAATATTTGTTTGAGCCCCAGCTGTGTGCTCAGCACTGGGCAAAGAAGTGACCATGTGTCTTGGTCTTCTCAACCTGAGCTCTGCCAGGCCTCCTCGGCCTGCCCTGAGGTCCTCCTGGTCAGGGAACTGGATGCATGGGCTGTGAGGCCATCCGCTAGCACAGTAGTGTGAGCTCGGTGGGGTGGTAGGGTCACTGGAACCCCAGGAGGGCACTGATAAATCGGCTTGGGGAGAGGGAGGGGCCCCCGGAGAGGACATTTCACAGAGAAGGTGATATTTTAGTGACGCTCTGAAGAGTGAAAGGAATTTCCAGGTGGACAGAGGGTGTTCCTGGCAGAGCAAAACTCAAAGAACATAGAGAATGGGATGGGGTATGAAATTACATATGTGTGCGTATGTGCATGAGAGAAAGAGAGAGAGAGGGAGATATATATATACACACACACTCCTATTTGCATTCATCTCTCTCTCCATGGTTTCCGGCTTCCCCCTCAGCACGCTTCCCCAGCACTCCTGGCCTAGCCCTGGGCTTGGCAGGCCTCTCCTGCTCCCTCTGGGCTCAGAGTTTCTGCCCTTCCACCCTACAAGTGCTTCTCTGTTCCCTCAGCCTCTACTGGCTTTCAGTTTGTCCTTTGAAAAAAAGCCGCCTTTGAATTTGTTCTTCCGAAGCCTGCCCTATGCTCGGCCTCCAGAAGGACGGACACTCGATCCCATCCATGGCTGGCCACAGGTTGCGGCCTTCGGAGCAGCTGCAAGGATAGTGTTGACTCCAGATGGAAAGCGTCTGGAGAATTCTGACCTGACATCACACCACCATGAACTGCACAGGCAGTCAGTGATCTGGGGGTGCCCAGGTGAAGCTGCTCCCAGCCTGGCTTCTTGTCAAAAACTGGCTTTGAGTTGGAGTCCAGAACAAAAGGGTGGCCCAGGGAGAGGCCAGCTTCTCTGAGAGCAGCCTGGAGGCAAACGGGTGTCCTTCATGCATTCCCTGTGGTTTGAATCCAGTGGAGGCCCTGCACTCATGGTACTGGCTGCAAGCGGGGCCCAGTATTGGCCTCTCTTAACTGTCCTGCCCACCCTGGGGCCTTGGCCATCTCTCCTCTCCCCGCTGGGCCTCCACTCCCAAAGGTTCTAAATCCCTGCATGTGGCCTCATGCAGCTCAGCCCTTCTGCCTTGCTGAGCCCTGCTTAGCCAGGTGAAGAGCTGGGGTTATCCCAGCCACATGCCGGAGGATGAAAGGGGAGCGCCCGGCCACAGCTGACACCGGCACCCTGGGCCCCATCCCAGGACTTGTCTTCAAGGCACCATCTGTCGCCTGTGTGGGC